ACGGTCACCGCCACGGTCACCGCCGATGAATAACCTCCAGGTCGTGTATTGGCCGTTTATAGGGCTTTCAATCCACCGCTGGGCTGAAGCAAGGTCGCGTAAAACGACATAGCGCCACAGCAGGACCTGTGAAGGCGCGACCCATGCCTTGCAAATAAGCGCTGTGTTGCGCAGGTGCGGATATTCTTGTTGCGGTTCGCAGTAGTGGTGGAGGTCGTACGCACCCACACTCAATTCCAAGATTTGGAGAATGAGCTCGGGCGCCAGATGATCCATCCCTTCCAAGCGACGTTTGTCTACCGTGGCGGAATCGCGGGTGTGGATACTATCGCTAGGAGGTTGAGTCAAAGGATGGAACTGCTGCCATCTTCCCGTGATCACGTTTAAAAAAAGAGTCAAAGGATGGAAAGACAGGGGCTTCGGAGGTGATTTGCGAAGCAGCACTGCCACTGATTGACACTTCTGCACTGTCGACAGTCCAGAAATTGTTTTCGTTGCCGACTTGGCTCAAACGAACGTCGCAGGGCTTCGATACGTACTTCAGTGGGATTCGCAGGTTTCTTCAAAAAACCAGAAAGCTACAACCGTTGATGTGGCGGTGTAACACTCACTCTTTCTCTTGCGATCATGACCCCTGAGGCTGCTACTGCGACCAAAGTAAGCCTGTCCCGCTCGCTCCCGTTCTGTCCTAACTTAGCTTCAGCCCAAACCCGGCGACGTTCAGCCCGAAGCCAAACCCAACGACACAGCCGAAGACGAAGGGCCAGACTTCCCAATCCTATCCACCTCCGTTTGGGGACCCGTAGGTTTCATCCACGCTCCGAATATTCTCTGTTGCTTACACACGCACGCCAGAACGGCGACGAGGTCCTAATGCTTTACATTGAAGAGATCGCCAAGCCGAAATACGACGCCGCGCGTCGGAGGATGAAGCCGACTGGCCCCGTCCGTAGTACGTGCATACACATTCGATTTTACCTCGTATGTTGCTTATATCGCATTCAGCCCCCGAAGAACAAGAGCGCCATGAGGACCAACTCATTGCCGGATGTCTTGGTTGGTATTGAAATAGCCTGAGCGCGACTGGGACAATTTTGTAATTCTCGACGCATGTACCAATCCTGGTCCCGGAAATCCAATCAGGTTGCATACATACACTCTAGATACGACAACTGCACAATTAAGTATTTATCTGTTGGTTTATCCATTCATTCATCTCCTTCTTTGCTTCGTTTCGCTTTACCGCTCCCCCCTCCCTTCCCCTCTCCTCTCCTCCCTCCACCCCGCTTCCCCCGTCTTCTTGTATGGTGTGGTGCAGGCAGCAACGAGCAAGCAAGCAATTTTGTTTCCTCCCGTCCCTCCCTCTCCATTTTTGCTTGTTCCGCCCACCCAATAAGTCGTAAGTTGCGTTCTTCCTCGGGATGCGTTGCGTGCGTGGGGTATGATGGATGGATGATACAACACCGTGCAGTGCGCGGTGTCCAGCAGGCGTGCGCGGTGGGCGCCGACGGTGACGAGTGAGTGCAGGGTATCGTATCGCATCGGCGGGCGGGGAATGGATGATAGGAGTGGAAGTGGAATAGATGGGCGGCCAGGCGGGCGGTATACGGGGGATTGTTACAACAACAACACTTGGCCGGGGTACTTGCACGACGCAGGGGGGGTAGAAAAACAAATAAGATGTGAAAAAAAGAAAACGGTTAGATGGATGCAAAAGAAATCAACTCCTCCGCTATCACCACACCACCACACCAGACCACCCTTCCGCGCTCCGCCACAACCACCACCAGCATACACGTACACATACACTCCCCCGCCCCACACACATTAAATCGCCGCGCCGCGCCGCCTTACTTTGGCGCTTTGGCAATCTCCCGCGCCGCCTTGATGAGCGGGGCGAGTGTTCGCAGAGGCTCGGACAGCGCGAAGAAGGGGTGCGCGAGTAGCTGTGTTGCGTTTGGTCTGAAAGGTAGTCAGTATCGCGTCGTTCGTTTGAAAGAAAAAAATAAGAAATCGAGCGCCTATTTCGAGCGGGGTCTCAGACTCATCGAGGGCCGACTGAGACCCCACGCAGGTCTGAGATACCGCCACGCGGCGTCGGAAACTCCCCGAGACTCTTCCTTTGTGCCCGAGTCAACCTCCCGACGCGAGGATCCGAGACATCATCTATCTCGAGTCTGAGACACACGGCGGCCGAGTCACCGCGACGTCACCGCGACCGTCTCTGCCATCATCTCGAGGCCCGAGTCTCTACGGTAACACCCACGCTCCGCGATCGACTCGGACTCATTGTCTCAGACTGTACCGCTCGCGTAACACCACGCGCCAAACCACCAGACCAACCCACAACTCACCTCTTCTCCGCATCCACCTCCAGCGTCTTTGCCAAATAATCGCTAAACACGGCCGACAGGCTCTCCGGGTTCGCGATCGTGGGCGTCCCGTTGGTCGCGATGAGGTAGAGCGCCTTGAGCGGGTTTTGGTTGAGGTAGGGGGGCTCGCCTTCGATCATTTCTGTGTAGCGCGGCGTTAGAAAATGAATCATACTGGAAAAAGAGAGAGGGAGGGAGGGAAAGAGACATAAAGGAAACGCCACGCACCAATAGCCATAATCCCAAGCGACCAAATGTCGACTTTGGGCCCGTACTCTTTGCGCGTGACGACCTCGGGGGCCATCCAATACGGCGTGCCGACCATGGTGGTGCGCTTGGCGTGCGCGGGGTCCGAGATTTGTGCGCAAAAGCCAAAGTCGGCTGTTCGTCGCGTGTGTTAGTATGATAAAGAGTTGGGAAAGGGACGGAGACGCACTAAGCTTAATATCCCCAATTAAACTGAGCAGCACATTATCGCTCTTGATATCGCGATGAATGACCCCATGCCGGTGCAGATGCTGCAGCCCCTGCGCCGTCTCGCGCGACACGGCCGCAATCTGCCCCTCCGTCATCAAATTCGCCGTCACGACATCCGTCAAGCTCCCGCCCTCCATATACTCCATAACCACCCAAAGATCATTCTTGTGCAAAAACGAGTCGATGTAGTTGACGATGTTCGGGTGCCTGCTCGAGCGCATCACCAGAATCTCGTTGATGATCAGGTCCTTCTTGGGCTGCTTCTCCAAATCCATCTGCTTGATCGCGACGGAGAGATTCGTGCCGACCTGGTAGGCGGTGTACACGCCCCCCGACGCGCCCTGCCCGATCTTGACAAGCGAGCGGTACAGCCGCGTCGGGTCCGCGTCGGTGCAGATTTGCTGCAGACGTCGGACAATGTCGCTGTCCTTGTCCTTGTCCGCGGGCTTCTTCTCGCGCCGGCGTGGGGTCGCGGAGCCGCTCGAGGGGGCTGCGCCGGCGGCCTTTGCGAGGGAGGCGGCGGCGGCGGAGGGCGGGCCTGGGGCGGCGCGCGAGGCCTGGGTGCGCAGGGGGAGGTCGCTGGAGGAAGAGCCCGGGGAGGGCTTGGGTGTGCTGCCGGGGGCGGCGGCGGCGCTAGGGGGCTTGGGCTGCGACGGGGCGCGGTCGCGGGTGGTGGTGGTGTTTGAGCGCTCGACGGGCTTTGTGGGGGTCTTTGTGGGAGTGCGCTGGGAGGTGGAGCGGTCGAGGGAGGGGGAGACGGCTGAAGGCGGGGTTGGCGCGGGCCGGTACGCGGTGGGCGCGGGGGAGGAAAAGGCGGACTGGGATTTTTTTGGCGGGGCTGGTGGTTGACGCTGAGTACATGTTAAACGAAAGAATGGACAGAAACGCAAAACAAAGCACCGGATTGTTAAAACCATCGTCGGCCGGCTCAAAGGCACCCATTGCACCGAGCTTGTCCCAGCCCTCTGCCTGGCCCTCCTGGTAAAACTTTACAATCTCCATAACGGCCTGGGGGTTCTTCTCCTGCTGCTCGCGCGAGATGCCGCTCTCCTGGAGCAGCTGCTGCCATTCTTTGGGCAGGCCGGTGAACTCGCCGGTGGACGAGTTGAAGCCGACATGGGTGAGATGGACGGGGTCGTAGGGAGTGCTGATCTCGGGACGCTTTGTGGTGTTGAAAATGAAGCCAAGGACAGACTTTTTGCTGCCCTTTGAAGAGTTTGTGCCGCTGCGGGAGCGCAGAGTGGTCTGGGGGTAGTCCTGGGGGGTGGGCGGGGGAGGCAGCTGCTCCTGGGGGTCCGCGTAAAAGGCAGCCTCGCTGTGTGCGGGGACGGGGGGGGAGGAGAGACGACGGACTGCGGGGTCGGATGGGAGGAAGATGTCGTTGAGGGTGGCGGTGTTTGCACGGGAGGGACGGGGCGGGGGTGCGCCGGTGGCCATTGCAAAGGGGTCGGGTGCGGGGACGGGGAGACTGAGCTTGCGCTGGCGGGGTTTCTGGAGCGAGTTGCGCTGCTTGGTCGGGGGTGGCGGTGGTTGGCGGTGCGGGACAAATGCAGATGCCGAGGCAGTTGCGTTTGCAAGGAGAGCGTTGTACTCCTGTTCAACGTTATTTCTTGCAAGATCGATGGACAGGTGAACTCACTTGTATTGATTCACGGGAAGGTCGAGAGTGGTACTCGGAGGTCATTGCCAAACTACAACCACCCAATCATGTTTCATCCAAATCTGATTCTCTCCTGCTACGATACTACAATTCCCTTCCAGCGAACTCTGTAGCTCTTTTCAACCGGCGACCGTGCAGAAGATTCCTATCCCTGTCCGGGCATCTCAACCGCAGTCCCACTCAAATTAGAACAAGGGCTGCCCGCCATGCACAGCCCGCCTTCTTCCAATTCAGTCCATTATGAAAAGGCGCCCTCAAGGCGTGGAAAACATTCTCTGGAACAAAGGTATGAAGCTTCGAATTCCAACCGTATATTAACTGCCAGTATACGCCACCAGGCCGTGATAATGCCGCAGAGACTTCCAGCTCGAAAGACAGGATTCCACCGCTGGCGGTCACCCAGCCCAATGATTGGATTGCCTATCATTCCATAACGGCTCTCGATCCGCACACGTAAAATAGAGAATTGCAGGTAAAAGAAAAAAAACCTACGGCCAAGCCCCGAATCGAACGAGGTCCTCTTGCAGACTCTACGTTCAACCTATTAGCAGCAAGTGTGCATCGTACACCACCCGGCCTTGATTACATTCGAACATGTGTCTACTCGATGCCCAAAACTGTGAATAAAATTCAAAAAATATGCATTTGCATGGCCCGGCCTCGAATCGAACGAGGTCCTCTCACACAATGCTCTATATTCCATATGGATTGCGAGCGTGCACCGTACACCACCAGGCCTTAATTACGATTCCCAAGGGTAGATAATATACCCCAGTTAACGCGCCGGACTTGAGGCTTGAGAGCAACAAGAAAAAGCAAAACGAATAATGGCCCCGCCTAACATTGAACGAGATCTTTCCGCATAAAACATACAGCATTCACGCGATGCAGATGTGCACCAGATACCACAAAACCCCTGTGTACATTTTTTTAATAACCGAGTGTGTGCGTGGAATGGAAGTTGGAGTTTAGACGTTTAGAACTGCGCTGATGCCCGGCCTCATATTAACGGAAGACCCCGCTCCGTACAATGGTTGGGCCTACAGCAGGATTTTTAAGCTGGTTCCAACCGCAACAAACTGAGGACAGCGGCGGCCAAAAAGCGAAGCTACGAAATAATATCAAAGAGCAAAAAATTGAACCGTGGGAACGGCCTACCCTCGAATCGAACGAGGTCCTCTTGCATAAGACTTGCGTTCAACACATGAACTGCAAGTGTGCACCGTACACCACCAGGCCTTGATTCAAAAAGGCTAAATAACGAACGAATAAGCGCGAGGGGATGAATCAAACAAACAGGAAAAAGCTTCTGAATCATCGTAAATGACTTTGAACGGCCTTGCCCCGAATCAATAACGACAGGCTTTATTTGCGCACGGACGCAGGTGTGTACCATACACCACACCACAAGGCCTTGATCCCGAGGACTCAAATCAAATCACAGATGAGAGGGATTATGCCAAGCTGAAAGTGAACTTGAGAGCGAGAAAACTACAAGTTGGTTATGGTCGGCGTACTCACTTGAAGCTGCGGTTAAAAGATAGTCTGTGGAGGACATTAGGGGATGCGAGCATCAGAGCTGGGGTTTGCGTAGCTAAGTGAGGCGCGGGAAGAAAGGGTGGACCTGCGCGTAAGGAAAAATTGAACCGTGGGAACGGCCTTTGAATCGAATGAGATCTTGGGCACAGATACGGGGGTAACACCCTGCAATAAACGGTAGAATATTTTGAGTACTTTGAGGATTTCCAAGGCAGCGGATTCGGATGGAGGCACCAGCGATCATGGTTGAGAGCAGAAGATGTCCAAAGTGATCCATGGTAATCTTATCGGTATCAGGCGCGCTATACGTAATCGTTCTCATTCTTTACCACTACCTTCTCGCGGCTAGTTATGGTACACATACACATGTTGGAGGCCCTCCCATCTCGCCAGTCTGGCTGAGCATGTACTGCCAGTAGGTCTAAGGGTTTTCGATCTTTACAAATCATCAGCGCCATCAACGCCCTCCTCAACGTTGACGCCTCCTTAACGATGTTTTCCAAAGCATCGCTCAGAAACAATTCTTTTACGCACAAACTCCTCGCCCGCGGCACCCCCACGCATACATTGTCCTCGCGATCCTCCAGATTGCTCCGTGCTTTCAGACCAAAGACATCTTTGTCCACTTTAGACATCCGCGACGTATTATTGCCGGATTTCGTCTTGGATCTGATAGATTCGGGCTTCATCTCATGGGAGGACAGTGTCCTCGCGCATGCTTTCCGATGCAGGGACTACAAGACTCCAACGAATCGTATGTCGCTTCTCCTTGATCAAGTCGGCTCTTACACCACAACCTTTGCTCAGGCGCTCAAGTGGAAGGAGTTCTATCCGAAGTATTCCAACCTGTCGGTCTCGACATCGTCCGTCAGGCGTGGTGCAAACGACTTGAAAGCACCATAGCCGTTGATGCTCAAGTGTACGCCGGCCGGCTCAGCTTGGTAGAACACTTCCAGCACGCTATTACCGACGTGAGCACCCGGCTGGGCAACACCTCTGGCTTGCATGACCGGCATGACATAGGTCCGGAAAAGTATCTTGTTCTCCTCCGTTCGTCGCAGCAACCTAACTAGCTGTTTTTTCAATATAGAGAGTCCATATCCATCGGTGCAAATGCCGTCCCCGTCGTTCGCAGCACCGTATCGGTCGCTCATCTCCCCGAACTTCGCAGCACGTCTCCCGCCCATTTCTATCACGGGCTGACGACCCGCCGGTTATCCAGTTTCAAAGACGGAATAAACCCCCCCGCCATCAGGGGAGAACTATCGCGGGAACGGGCATTCTATATGACTCAACACCCCGCCCACGCCTCTGACCATGTACACCTTACTAACGTGCGAGCAGCAGACCCCATCGCCTTGATCGCTTTCGAGGTGGAACTCGACGTCGTTCGGGGGCGTGTTATGGAAAGCGGAGGCGATCGGCTCTTCCGGTATCTCGATCTCACCGAGGATTATAGCTCTCACCTCAGTGCGCGGGGACTCGAGAGTTTCTCTGAGGTAAGTATTGCTCGCTCTATCTCTCAGCAGCAATGTTACCGACAACTACATGTAGTACTGCGCTCAGTCTACCAGCCAGTCGCGGTGTCTCAGTCGAGACATCTGGGATCCACCCACCAGAGAACAATTATATCCACCATTGACTGATTCCGACGTGCCCTTCGACTTTGTTTTTGCCCATGTTTGCAGCGTAAGCGCCGTGCCCTCCCTCTCTGTGGCTCGGATCCTTTGAGGACTCACTTCTGTCTCTAGGGATTTTCAAAGCCGATCGATGTCGTCCCATCGAAAAAGGGCTTTGGCCCCCTATTCCAACTCGCTGCGTTGTCCCCGAGCAGCTGGCGATATTTAGAAAGCTGTGCCGTGAAAGTGAGTGCTTTAGGTATTCTCAACCCACTTGAGCTTATTGGTTTAGATCTACGTCGAGGAGCGTGGACCGTGAGCGATACTATCCTAATTTTCATTTGTATGCATGCGACGGACCTCTTACGCTAGATTACTTTTCAATTTGTACGTGCATATAGCGTAGTCAAAGTACCCGCTGGAGCTTCAGTACGGTCTATATCAAAGAACTGAGTGCACGCGACAGGACGGTCTTCTTCCTTGAATGAGTTTATCTCTTTCGTGAATTCGTGGCTGTTAAAGAGGAGAAACCGCGTAGGTGGGAGAAAGACGGCATAAATAATATTCACTGTTAAACGGCGCCGTCGGCACAGGTTGCGACGTCTGACGACCCGTGCCGATCCGGCGTCGGCACACTGCCATGATCGGCATGGGTCGTTACACGCCGTCAGACGTCGGCAACGTGTGCCGACGGGGCGGCTTAACGCAGTGATTGATTGGCAGTCCATGAAGATTCTTTTGGCCTGAACGGCGGAGACCAAAGATGAAAACTGAGGATGCGATAAAATACATAGTTGGTAGATACAGTTGAGAGTGTCAGTAATGTTTGGGAAATTCCCGTATCATGGTGTGTTCGTGAGTTGATGCAAAGAAAGAGAGAAAAAACTAATAAATGGCGCCCCAGCCTGGTTGAGCGTCAATAAGTATGAGGGTGCAGAAGGGAGAATAAAATTGTGACGCACCATACCATATGGTCGCTAGTCGCATTGGATCCGTCGCCTCCGCGATCAGCTCGTTGACCGTGTACTCGACACTCATCGCTTTGTCGAGCTTGCGTGCGACGCCGCTCAGCGCCCGGTCCGCCGCCTCATCTGCGGTTCCACTCGCCATATCGATCCCGATTCCCGCCAATCCCGTCCGGAACCGTCCCAGTACAGCGCCCCCAGTCGGCCCCGCTCCATCCACATCCTTCTGTACGTTCTTCAGCTTGACGTCACTCGCGGTCCAAGAGTGCAGCGGGTCGTGTTTGAACACCTCGAGCACGGTCATGATCACCTCCGAGCCCTCGCGCAGCACCCGCAGCGTCTCCTCCGCACAGCGCTGGAACACTCCCTGCGTCCCTGCGGCACCCATCCCGTCCACCACGTCCGACGTCATGCGGAACGGCACCTGCTCCGGCACGGTCAGCAGCTTCCCCTGGTCGAACGCGATCCCGAGGTCGATGTGCACCACCTCGCCCGTCGCAGTGTCCAGCAGGATGTTTGACCCGTGGCGATCGCCGAGCCCGAGGATATGCCCCACGATTGACGTCGTCGCAACGCTGCGGATGTAGTTCAGCCGCATCGCGAACCACGCCATTGGCTGTTTGTGCTTTTCCGTGAAAAAGTGCCGCATCACCGGGTGGAAGTGCTCCTTGATTTGAAGGTACCGTTCAAGCAGCTTGTCCGGCTCAGCGGCCTTCTTGCTGCCGCTGGGGCCGCCATGCTCAGCGTATGCCTTCTGTATATTGCGAGTTGCGAGCGCAGGGGTCCAGTCGCTCTTGTTGTATCTGGTCGTACTGTCAGTCAACAGACTCAAGGAAAATAGAAATAACCATACTGCAAGTGCGCATTTTGAAGCCACTGTTGCATAGGTGTGGTGTTGACGACGAACTCCAGAACACCAGCTTGCGCACCAAGAGGGACAATGACGTAGCCTCGAACGTTGAGAGAACGGCGATTGGTTTCTCTGTCGCCTTGGAGTACGGTGTTGACAAGTGTAAACACCTGTTCCATGACCGCGTCCTGCCGCAAGTCGTCGTTCCCCTCGCCTTTGAACTAGAAGAAAGGTAAGCAGACAAGAAGGAAAAGGGAGCATCGGGGCTCGTACCAGCTGCTTGTACCTTTCACCGTCGGTGCCTACGCATATGCAGACCTTGGGCAGATTAACCCCACCGGCGGTGTCATACGTCGTCTCAAACTTCTTGATAAAAACACAGTTGTCGTACTTGCAGCTCGGGTCGAGCGCTGGCGGGCACGTGAGCACTGGCACATCGACGTTCGAAATATTGCGAATCGCAAGCTGGGGCGGGATTGGGTTTGTCTTGGCCAAGGTCCCTTTTTCCTTCTCCGCTTTGTGTTTTTTGATGATAGGGAACTTTGCCCACTCGAGACAGGCAGTAGCGACTAGCTCGACGTCCTTGATGCGGTTTGCGCACCCAGGATCCCCACGCAAGCGATCGAAAATGACAGACGCAGCTTCACTCCGTGCTGTTGCCTGAATGTTGGGAGGGGTAAGGATTGGCGTACTATGACGGCTAGACTGGCGCTTGTCGGTTGGTGGCGCTGGGAGCTCCGAGTACGGCAACAAGCAGTACACTTGATACAGGCTGTGGAAAGGATGGTCGATGCACATGCGCAACACCACACTCTCCAGATTTTCCTGGTTCTTCGTCGATTCCGAAGTTTTTGAAAGCCTCGCGGACAGTTGGTGCTAAAGACAGGTGAGTATTGAGTCCAAAACAAGAAAGAAGAACGCACAGCCAGGAAAACAAGTTTACGCGAGGGGACTCGAGCAAGAGCGGCCTGAACCGTGTCTTGGAAACCGAATTCCGTCTCATCGAAGTTCTCAAACCATAAAGAACACAGTCGGATAGCACCGTCACCATCAAATGCATCCGAGGCTTCGAGTGCACGGGAATACATCTCGATTGCGTCTGCGAGAAACCCTTCGCGGGCCTTATTGTGTTTTCGGAACAGCTCTTGGTCGGTTTGCAACAGAACTCTCGCGTCGTGGAGAGATTTATTCTGCCCTTGAGTTTTACGGAACTCGATTTCTTGCGTCTTGCGATCGACATAAACTCTCCATCGAAGGGCATCCGGG